GGGGAGGGAGGGGGAAAAGATGAGGAGCTGGCACCAAGGGCTCAGGTGAAAAGCAGGTGTTGTGAGAATGATGAAGTCAACATATGTACTAGTGTGCTGGACACAAATGAGGTATGTATGGATTGTGATGAGTTGTGTGAGCCCCTAAAAAAAAAAAAAAAGCAAATCTTTTGAGAATGATGATGGCAACAAATGTACAAATGTGCTTGACACAATGGATGTATGTATGGATTGTGATAAGAATTGTATGAGCCCTAATAAAATGATAAAAAAATCAATTGTGCTTAATATAATTGATGTATGGATTGTTACAAGAGCTATAAGAGCCACCAATAAAATGATTTATTGGGAAAAAAAGAACAAAAAAAAACAAAACAAAACGAGCAAACTGTATGAACAGGCTATTCCTAGAAGAAAAAAGCAATAGCCAATGAGAGAAATACAAATTTAAAAAATACATAATGTTCAGTTGCAAGACTAGCACGGACATAAAGAGAGTGTTCCCAATTATTTCCTGCAAGAACATGTCTCTGCGTATTGTTAGAAAGGATATAAACTGGCAGTGCTTCTTAGGAGGGTAATTTTAAAACTTTATTAAGCATACAATATATGCATCTTTTGAAACAGCAATTTTATTTCCAGAAACTCCTAAATAAATCTGTAGGCCTACAATTACATATGTATGAGAATCTTTGCTGCAATAATAGCAGAAACCTGGACCTAAGTTTAATGTCCATGATTAAATAATAGATGGGACATTCACAAGTGAACACTATGTATCTTTTAAAAATAAAGATAAAATATTTACATATGCTTATATAGAAAGATCACCAATGTTTACTAAGTTAAAAGTAAATAAAAAGAAACCCTAAGTATTTCCATGTGGGGAACAAAAGGACACAGTGAGCCCTCTTATCCGCAGGTTCTGCATGCTTAGATTTAACCAAACTCAGATGGACAGTATAAAGTGCTATTTATGTAGCTTTTACATTGTATGAGGTATCATAAGTAATCTAGAGGTGATTTAAAGTATACAGGAGGATGTGCATAGGTTACATGCAAATACTATTCAATTTTATGTAAGGGACATGAGCATCTGATGATTTTGGGATTCTTGGAGGCCCTTGACAAATCAATTCCCAAGGGATTCCAACAGATGGCTGTACATATAGATACTTATGTATGGTGAGAAAGTATCAGGAAGCACATCAAACAATTGCTAACTATGACAACATGCATGCAGTAAAAAGGAAAACATATTTTGAAAATTTTATAATAATATTTCCCTTCACATTATTTGAATAGTTTATCATATGAATTTTATAATTACTGTTAATTTTACAATTACTGTAAAATTGATAGCTTAATATATAGGATATGAATAACACGTAAACCAATGATAAGGAATACAATCATAATGGCCTAATGGGAAGTCACTATCTCTTCCTAACAGTGCTGTTTCTGAATGATCAACAGAGTTAAGAACTTCCAAAATTTGAATAAAAATCTTACCATCCTAGTTTACTTACCTAGTAAAACGACATAGAGGGATGTAACTGAAAGTGTTCATCAAGGCTGTTGCCTTTCAAATTGTAAAAGCTCCCTTTCCCTTAAAAGTTTGCAAATAGTGAAAGCCTGCTTGTTCAGGGCATTCATAGAGGAAGAGAGAGAGTAAATAATTACTATCCAAATAACGAAGGCGCTTCAGTGTTGTAGCGGGTTAGGACTTGGGCTGCTGACAGCAGGATGAGCACTTAGAAACCACCTGCTGCCCCGCGGGAGAAAGACGGGGCCTCTGCTCCTCTATAGTTATAGTCTCAGAAACACAAAAGGGCAGCTCTGGCCTGTCTGCAAGGGTCACTATGAGTGGAAATCAACTCCGTGGCAGTGAGGGCTTGTGTTTCTGTTTTGAATGATATCATCCAAATGTCAAAGACGTTCTGACACTGTAATCAAAGTTTGAAAATCACAATTTTTTTCTTTTTAATATTAGCTTAATTCCTTTATCCTGCCAAAGGCCCCTGGAGAATCTGACTTCAGTCACTACAACACCACAAAATAATTCATCTCCTATTTGATTTCATCTTTGATACTATTAATAGTGTAATTTAAATTGAGAAGTGCATACCTACAAACGAGTCATTCCATTCGTGTTGTACACACATCGACTAAAACAACAAAACAAGAACGCCAGAGACTTAGGGAAAGCACTTGCTAACTTAATTAAATTTAATTTTAGGCGTAAGACAGCCTCTAGATTTGGGTACACTACCTAACATAATGCCTAGGTTTGCCTTCATCCTAAAATAAGTTAGCCACACAAGAGCCGAAGCATGAAAATAAAAGGCCAGAGAAACACAATTAAAATGCTGACACAGCCTCTGGAGTTTACCGTAATGAAATATCTGGGGAGGCAATCCGATTCACGTCAACTTGTGAATAAACATACATTTCTTAAACTGCTCGTCCGTGAAAGTGTTGGAATTAGGAGACCAATACACTACTCAGATCTGCCCAAGGCCCTAGCCTTTACTGGCAGGGGAAAAACTTACCGTGACAAACGGGGTGTAACAAATCAGGACCAAAGACACTTCAGCGAGGAACGAAAAACGCGTTATCAAGCAACAGCTCCCTGGAGGCGTCCGGTGCTGCGCGAGCGCACTCAGCGGTTCATTTGGGTTGGAGGCAGCCGCCCTCGGTTACTGAGCATGCGCAGAATTGGGCGCAGGCGCAGAAGAGCTAACTCCTGCCCGCTCCGGAATCCCAACCGGCCAGAACACTCCACTCCTCCGTGTTTTCTCCCAACGCTACTAAGTCACTGTTGGTTAAGTGGAAAACCCGCTGCCGGGCGTTGAAGTCCTGTCTACGCGACTCCACGCGGACGCGGTGGACCTGCCCGGGCACTGACCGGGACTGTAACTCTGCAAGCCCGCCGCCCTCCGCTGGTGTTTGAGACTGCTCGCCGGGGGTCGCAGCCCCGCGCGGGACCACCGGGCCCCCAAGGGAGCCTCGTTCCAGTGAAACGTGTGTCCGCCTGGAAAGACGCACCCTGGTTGGGGGTGTCTGCCGTCCGCCTTTGTACCGCTTACCCTTCCCTGTAAATGTTCGCTGGGTGACCGACATTGCCAGACCGCGTCTGTCGAACACCGAACCGCTGCGAGCCCGTGGAATTAGTCCCCACTCCACCCCCGCGTAGATTTAAAAAACAGTTTTATTGCCACATAATTCACAGATTATTCAATATTTCCATCACATCCGGAAGAGTTGTACAATCATCGAGACAATCAGTTCTAGAACCATGGACAGTCTGAAGGAGGCCTGAGACCACTCTCCATACCGGAGCAGGAAACAAAACAACTTAATGCAGAATTATGTTAATGGAGCATCCCTTCTAAATTAAAAAAAAAACTATTTAAGATTTCATCTGATGCTTAAAAGTGTGAGTGTGACCCAGAAAAGGAGTTCTGGGATGGCACAAACTATTAGAGGAATCTACTCAGACGGAGCCCCTGAGAAAAGTGAAATGTCCGTGTATGAACACACTGTGGAGGAAATACTGTTTTGTTGAAATCATCTTATGTAATATCAACCACAGTGAACGATCGTGTTTGAACATTTCACATAGATCATGGGGTCATCCTGGGACACACACACTTCTAATGGTCATCCAGTGGATTGCAACTCATCCTGGGACACACACACACACACACACACACACACTTCTAATGGTCATCCAGTGGATTGCAACTCATCCTGGGACACACACAAACACACACGTGGGGGCATCCTGGGACACACACACACACACACACACACACACCCCACACCCCAATGGTCATCCAGTGGATTGCAACTCCACAGCAACTCCTGACTTTGGACTCCAAAGGCTCAGGCCGCACTGCTGCGGCGCCTTGCGTTTGCCTGGGTTTAGTCCAGGCCAGTGTCTCTGCTCCTGGACAGGCGTGGCGTGTATTCATTGTTCATGGGTTTTCGAGGACTGGAGTAAACCTTTGAATTTCGATTTTTTTTTCTCAAAACGAAGAAATAAACCGTTCATTCCCTGAAAAATTCAGCGCATGTTGAAGGACCGTTCTTTTCCAGCCGGATCGTGTTTGTGTGTGCGCGTAGTAGTGGGGAGACAGTCCCCACGAAAAGGTAACAATTTGTTTTTTCAATATTAAAACTCAGGACACAGTGAATGGAACGTAAGCCCCGCCCCCGGGAGCAAGCCCCGCCCGGTGAGGCTGAGGCGACGACGCGGAGTGGATCGCCCACCGCCGCCCGGGAGGCGGAGTTCGCGCCCCTTTCCCGCCCCATCCCCGCCCCTTCCGTCCTCCGCGCGCGCGTGCGCACTCCCTCCCAGTTCGCAGAGACTCTCTGGGATTCCCTGTGCCCTAGGGTTGGGCAGGAAACCAAGGGCTCGGCGCTCGCGAGGAAATCGGGGACACACTGCCATGCGTTGGGGGCTGCTCCCTCGTGGGCCGGGGGCGGCGGCCCTGGCCCGGAATTTATATGGCTTGCCCCGCTTTCCTTGTCGCCTAGTGTGGCGAGGAACGACGTGGAGGCTTCTGGTGCGGTCAGTGACCGGGACCAGTCACCAGCTACCGAACCCGAATAGCGGCAAATACCGGGACACGGTGTTGCTGCCGCAAACCAACTTCCCCATGAAACTGCCGGGCCGCCAGCAGCCCGACAAGGAGCTGGAGATCCAGCAGGTTCGGGCCCCACCTTGGCGCGTCGGGGCGGTGGCTGGGAGCTGGGCTCGGAAGGGAGGCCCCACTTGGTCGGGGTGGAGAAGGACCTGGCTTCCTGGGGCACCTCAGCGGGGGGAGGTGCGGGGTGGGCTGGGCTCAGGGGCCAGGTCCCTTCAGTTGGTGTTTTGTCCAGATCTATGTAACTCAGGAGCTTTCCACGAATTTCCTTTGCAGAAAATTAGTGAAGAAATCTCCAGTTAACCCGCGCCCACCCCCGACACCCGCCCCCTAGTGATAGCAAGATATTAAGGGAGAAATGAACAGTGCTGAAGTACCGACCTAATAGGTAGTCCCATTGAGAACTTAAGCAAAACAAGTCGAATTACAACATTTTTTTCCGGTGGCTTGTAAAAAGTTCATTAACATATGTATACATAAGTAAGAATGCAATGAGAAAGAAGGATGGAAAATTGAAGTCCACCTTTGTTGGCTTTGAGCCCACCTGGTTGGGATTGCACCTGTTTTCGAAGAGGAGCTACTTTCTCTGAGCCCCGTTCTTTGTGCTTTTTGTCGCTCCTGTTCGAGCTTTCCAAGGTCAGTTTCTCTCGGTGTAATTTTAGAGCCCTTTAAAAAAATGATATTTTAGGAATATCGGCTGCATAACTGTGCAGCTTAAATATTCTTGTAACAATGACCAGAGTTCAGATGCATAAAACTGTTTGGGCCACCTAATTTTCAAAACACTCGTTTGGTTCCTTCTGTATGCTAAGGAATCTTTTAAAATGATTTCTTATATAATTTTCATACTAGCCCTACGAGTTGGATTTTAATAATTTCATTTTTTTTTTAACCTGATGAGACAGGCCTGTAAGGGCAGTAGGTCACACAGTGGGGCAATGAGGGTAGGGGAGTGGGTTAACAGTGAGTGTTCCAGACTAGGGAATAGTGGAGGCCAAAGGTTAGCAAGAATAAAATAGGAGTGAAGGAGCCCTGAAACCCTGTTCAGGGTCACTAAAACCTACTCACTGGCTTTCTGTTTTTTATTGTGTGAGGTCCTTCAGTATGACTGGTCAGAATATTTGGAGACTTAGCTAGAATTTAGTGGCACAATCTGCAACATCCAGATGGCAACCTTGCCTGCGAAAAAATGAAAATCACTTGAACGGCTTAATGATGAAGGTCAAACGCCTTCGTATGGATTACATCTGAATGTGAACAAATTGAAAATCCTCACCACTGGACAGATAGGAAACACGGTGCTAAATGATGAAGCTACTGAAGTTGTCAAGGACTTCATTCCGCATGAACCAACAATCAATGTCCTTGGAAACAGCAGTGAAAAATTGCAGTGTAAATCTGAAGCTTCTTTTACATTTTCAAAAGCTAAGATGCCATTTTGATGAGTAAGGTGTCTGAGTTAGTTAGTTTATTGTGCCAACCTGGCCTATAAACACATGTGGGATTAATTGAAGGGCGGAGG